ATGGGTAGATGAGGTGTCAATCAGCCTCGGGCAGTAGGGTAGCGGGATTGAGGACAGCAGGGGGAGCGAAGCTCACTTGTTCAGTCAACAAAAGGCAATAGACCATCAGAGAAATCCCCACATCTGTTTCATTCGGAAGATTGGTTGGTGCCCCATTTGCTCTGGGGACGTTTTTCCAGGCCTCCAACAGGATCCTCTCTTTCTCTTCAGTGAAGAGTGGTGTGGGAGAATTGTCTGTGTTCTGTTAATCATGTTTTAAATAAACGCTGATTGGCCAGGCAGGAAGTATAGGTGGGACAACCAGACAGGAAGTAGAGGTGGGGCAATGAGAACAGAAGTACTCTGGGAAGAAGGAAGCTCTTCCCCAGTCCTTCCTAGATCACTGAAGAAGCAGGATGTGACCTGCCCACTGAAAAAGGTACCAAGTCATGTGGCTAACATAGTTAAGAATGATGGGTTAATATAAGTTATAAGAGTTAATACGAAGCCTGAGCTAATGGGCCAATCAGTTTATAATCTTCTGGAGACCTCTGTGTGATATTCTTTGAGACTTGCCAGCTGTGGAAACAGGGCAGGACAGAAACCCCAACAAGCCCTGCCCTCATGTTACAGAAGAGGACCTGTAAAAGCTGCTGACAGTCATCCCAGGTGGGTTGGTGGGAAAACATCAAAGACTCCTCCAATTCTGTCAGGCTGGTGGGATTCTCTGAAAAGGAAGCATGATTAGTTTTCCAGTTGTAAAGATCAGGAGAGGAAAATGGCCAACACTAGAGGGGTTGTAGGTGGGGTGTGTCCACCAGAGGCCCATAGACGTGCAGCAGCAACGCCACTGTTGAATCTGGTCCTCCTGGTCCTCCAGGACCCTGTGCAGGACTCTGAGCATGCCGACTTGGTGTGCCCATCACAGCCTCCCCCCACCCCCCGCGCTGCCACTAGCACCAGGATCAGGCATCTGGGGCAGTGGGTAAGGGGGTGGTGGAGGGCTCGGCCATTCAGGTGGCTCCTCAGTCTCAGGATAGATTTTAGGAGGAGCCGAAGGTTGGTTCTTGAGCAAATTCTCAGGCCTCGAAGTACAGGTTTGAGTTAGTGCTCTGACTCTCGGAGAGCCAGGGCTCTGGAGCCTAGCTTCCATCTACACCCCTAGGACTTAACTCAAGGTGGGGGATCCTGGACCAAATCTTGCCATACAGTAATGCATGGTTGTTGATCAGGATGGGATCCTGGTCCTTCCTGAAAAACAATAGCTTTAATTTCAAAAATATTGATTAAATCAAAGGTTCCCTCTAGATGCCAGCCAACATCAAGCACTCCACTTCAAGGAGCAAAAAGTCTCCCATGGCCCTTTCTTAATCTCAACTGACAAGTTGTGTGCTGTAGCCCTAACTTCAGTCCAATGATCCAGAGTCAAGCTCAGAGGGGTCGTCACAGTCTGTCCCATTGTCAAAGCCACAAGTAAGACAAAACAGAGACCTAGACAGACAAAACCACTCTAGAAATACAGACGGCTGGGAGGGTGTATAGTTCCTCCAACCCAGGATAACTTCCGTATCCTCACCAGCACCCAGACGGGACTTTCCCAGGCATCCCTGGGGACCCTTCTCACCTCTCCCAGGGCGGCAGTCAGTGATCTCCTAGCACATCTGCTGATCACTCCCTCCCTCTCCTCCTGAGATGCAAGAGACTGCAAAACCGAAAGTACAGAACCTGAATTCAGCTGGCACGGAAACACCAAGACACAGACAATGTCTCGCCCCCACGTGGGTCTCCGGAGACAAGGGTGGTCACCAATCCCAGGACGAGCCCCCAAATGAAAGACCCCCAGACTTGGGAGACTCTCACACAAGTCTCGGGATAACACAACCCCCCAAGTACTCATGAGAGACTGTCCTTGCTGTAATCACACGAGGTTTATTGACAGGAACCAGTGCGCTGGGGCTGAGACTCATATCCCACGCAGGGGTAGAGGAGTTCGACCCGAGTAGCTGGGAGAAGGGTTATTTAAGGGAAGAAACCACAACCCAAAGGGGGTAAGGAGGGCATCATTGGAAAATTCCAAAAACACCAGCAATAATCACAAAGGGGATAACTTCCCGTTTCTCAAGATTGTTCTTCAAGATTATAATCTAACTTTGTGGTCAGCCAGTTCCTGGAATAAAGTCACTGAACCAACCAACCTAGATTTTTGGCTCTACTCTTCCTGCTAGGGGAGAGGGTCTGGATTTATCCTGGTCTTTCAGTGGTTTACTCTGGGCCCAGGGGCATTCACTTATAGTAATCACCACTTGGAAGGTTGCCATGAGGCAGGACAATTAATTAGTGAGTAGAGGAGCCTGAAGCACGATCTAGTAAAACCCAGAGAAAAAAATTGGGGTTCAGTCTGAAGATCTGAAAAGCAAAGCGGCCAGCCACTGGCTGTTACCTCTACCTCGGTCCAAAACGGCGATCCTGCCTCCATGAATCTCATAATGAGACTGTGTCTGAGGGCTGCTTCCTCCCATCTTATATTCCTCTCTAGGACTGAGATTAAAGGTGTGCACCACTGGGATTAAAGTCATGCACTGCCCGGTTTCTACTGCAACTAGTGTGGCTTCTGGGATAAAAGGTGCGTGTCATTGCTGGCTGGCCGGTGTGGCTATTTTACTTTCCTGATTTCCAGGCAAGCTTTATTTATTAAAATACAGGTGGAATGCCTCTATAGGAGTCATGAGAAGGGAAAGGGTTCTTTCATTCTCCTACTTCTAAGACCCAGAACCTTTGACAGAACTGTTAAGAGTGGCTAATGAAGGGATGACGAGAGGATCACTCAGCAGGTCAGTGTGTCTATGTGGGGACATGCACATTTAATCTCAGCACTCAGCAGGTCAGTGTGTCTGTGTGGGGACATGCACCTTTAATCTCAGTACTCAGCAGGTCAGTGTGTCTGTGTGGGGACATGCACCTTTAATCTCAGTACTCAGCAGGTCAGTGTGTCTGTGTGGGGACATGCACCTTTAATCTCAGTACTCAGCAGGTCAGTATGTCTATGTGGGGACATGCACATTTAATCTCAGTACTCAGGAGGCTCTTTGCTTGAGTCCAAGGCCAGTCTGGTCTACATAGTGGGTTCTAGGCTAGCTATTTACACAGTGAGATCCTGTCTCAAAACAACTGGAAGAAGAGGAGGAGGAATTACTATAACACCAATGACTACTTAGGCTGGCCCCAAATATAGCTATTCCCTGCCGAGACTGTGAGGGGACTCCTCAGGCTGCACTGCAGGGACAGCAGAGTAAGCTTTCCCACGGTAATTTAGGTCATATACTTATCACGCAGAACTCTATTCTGGGCCCCTGGCTGGAAGGAGTGACTTTTCAAGTGCACTGTATCTAATCTCAGTGCTGTTCACTGAAGAGTTCCAGCTACTCAGGAGCCCAAGACATGAGACTCATCCAAGCCCAGGAGTTCAAGCCAGTTTGGGCAACCATCTTAGGCAGGGTTCTTTAGAGGGACAGAATGGCTAGAAGGGATATATATTACTAAGGGGATTTATATGCATTGTTTGGGTTGGCTACTCCAACAACAGCCACTTGCATGTTGGAAAACGGAAAACCCAGAACCTGCTCATTCCACATAGCTGGATGCCTCTGCAGTCCTGGTCTAAATATGAAGGCCTGCGAAATTCCTGGAGAGCCTCAGGTCTTCAGTGCCTTAGTTGGAAGGCTGAAAACAGTGTTCCAATGTGGGCAAGTTCCAACGGCAGCAGTGCCAGCGGCCAGAGTAGTCATTCACTAGGAAGCGCAAAGGCAGGCAAATACAAAACCTTTTTATTTTTTTATTTAATTAAATTAATTAATTAATTTATTTATTTATTTTTTGGTTTTTCGAGACAGGGTTTCTCTGTGGTTTTGGAGCCTGTCCTGGAACTAGCTCTTGTAGACCAGGCTGGTCTCGAACTCACAGAGATCTGCCTGCCTCTGCCTCCCAAGTGCTGGGATTAAAGGCGTGTGCCACCACCGCCCGGCTCAAAACCTTTTTAAAGCCCCCTGTAGCTCTGGGCTTCTGCCTGAAGGTGCCATTCACTCTATCCCAGAAGGGCATCTCAGTTGATTCTGGCAGTAATCACGTTGGGCATGCACTCACTCTACAGCTCTGCGGTACATCTTAATCGGTTTTCCATCTGAAAAATGCAAACTGCAGAACTGATGGGTCTGTGAGCTATGACTGTTAACATAGACACTACTAAGTTAAGACCTGGTGCATTACATCATGTGTAATGACCAGCCTGTGAGTCAGAAAAGCAAGCAGGAGGCAGCCCACCTGCCCGAGTACAAAAAAAGCGACCCACGAATGGCGGTATTTGGACCCGTAACTGTGGATTTGATAAACCCAAAGCACGGGAGCAAAACTGTTACGCAAGCTATAATAGTTAAAGGATTTCAATAAAGACTGTATGCTGTGGGGCTGATAGAATCGCAACAATTTGAGTTCTAGGACGGCCGCCCTTTGGGAGGGACCCAGAGGGACCCACCCTTTTCCCACCCTTTTATAGTAGATGAGGTTCGCCCTCTTGCTAATTAGTCAACTTTGTAACACCATTTATACTTCCTGAGACTAGCAGTCCGAGGCGAGGCGCCAGGGATAATTAGGAAGTGGGTTCTAACTGTATAGGGCCGCATCGGGTCAGGCTCCAAGCTGTCAAAGTCTGATTGTTGGAAAGTATGGATTTAGTCTTGTATGGATTTTGCATTTTTTTTTATTTGGCCTTTTTGTGTCCATAGTGTGAGGTCCCTGGATGCTGAATGGCCTGATGTCAATCGTGATGCCCGCTTGCACCGCAGATGTGCCCTGGACAAAGTCCTAGCGTCCAACAGCTTGCTCACCTTGGCAACCGACACTTCCGGAATCCAGAAGATACCGGAAATGACGCCCTTAACACTTCCGCTGCCGACATCGCAGCCCTTTTTTAGGGTCCTGTCGGTGTGGGGCCCGGTGAACCGTCACGTATGCAGGTCGCGGCGGGGAGGGAGGTGCGGCCGGCACTCGGGGCGCGACACCGGCGGGTCTCGGGGTGCCTTGCCCAAGGCGGAGTCGGCTCGGGTTGGCGCCTGTGCGTCAGTGCTGCGCGGGCCAGACCCGCCAGGTGAGCGGCGCCACCAGAGTTCGCACCGCGGACGCGCAGCGAGGTCTCCTGCTGAGCATTCGGGACAGTAAGGACACTAGGAGAGTGTCCTGCGTTTCCCGCGCGCTCTCAGAGAGTTCACAGATTAGTCTTTAAAAAACAAAACAGGTTTAGCCGGGCAGTGGCGGCTAACTCCTTTAATCCCAGCACTCGGGAGTCAGAGGCAGGACAGCCTAGGCTACACACAGAAACCCCGTCTTGCAAAAACAAAAACAAACAAACAAGGCTCAGAGGAAAATGTCGAACCCTGGTCTCCAGTGCCTGGTATCTGGAACCACAGCACACATCCTAGGTACTCCTGAGTAGCTGGTTTTCAAATGGCATGCATAAATGGGAAAAGGTTCCCCCCAAACTTTGTCAGCCAAGTTAGCCACATTGGCTTACCGTATCTCTCTGTCCCTGTGTGACATATATATACCCGTGCACTTCTGACAGTCAGTCCTGCCATTTGAGTCTGTGTACACTGCAGAGTTGGAAGAGTAAGAGAAGTGATCCAGAAGAGGTTTGGGTAGGAAATGGTCCGTGAGATTACTGAAGCGATACCACTGGTATGCCTGGAGAGACCAGAAAGGCTTAAGTAGAAAAGATCTCCAGGGTTTTTATTCCGTCTAGTGCCTCCCTTTTGGGAGCAGTTTGGAGACCACGACTAGTGAGCTCTGCATAAACCAGCTCAAGTACACGGTCCCAGAATGAGATGCAGCAAGCAAAACAAGCCTGCCATTTTCCATCCGGGGCAACCAGGAAGACTGTCTTCGGAAGAAGTGACAGAGATGCAGAAAAAGGAGGGGAAAAGTTCAAACAGGGAAAGTGTGTGTGTGTTCATATCATGTAGCGTGTTAGTCCCAAACTTGTACATCTTTTCTAGTTTATTCAAGAATTAATGATACATACTATTTGGTTTCAGTACACAGTACAGAGCATATGAAATAGAAGTTAAGTAATTCTGTGTTTTCTTTAATGTTCTATTTTCTTGCATACCCTGCATTGGAGGCCGTTGCTATTCTTTTAATTTGGGTACTTGGGAGACCGGTTGGAGGTGTGTAAAAAGCTGTCAAGGCTAAGCGTGGACAGTTAATTTTACCCTGGAGCCACTGTAAGTTTGAGAAGGGAAGTCACTTGGAGCGATTTCTCTGTTTGTACTCCTCTTTCCCCTAAAGATTTGTTTTTAGCTGCCAGTATCGCACCAGCTGAGTACTCCAGGACCATGATTGTTCTTTCTGTTTCTGTAGGTAACACTTCTGCTCTTCCTTTTTGACTCTGAAAAACAGCTCCTGCCATTTGAAGCAGAGACTCATTTTCAGTGTACCTGCTGTAGGTGGAACCAGCTTCTCTTTGGGATCGCAATGACCATGGAAGGCAGGGGAACATTAGGTCTCATCCCCAGGACGTCTGTGCATCAGCAGCAGGAGGGGAGATTGACTGTGAAGCAGGAACCAGGAAGCCAGACATGGGGACAGAGCTGCGGTCTCCAGAAGAACTACCCCCCTGTCTGTGAAATCTTCCGGCTGCACTTCAGGCAGCTGTGTTACCACGAGACGTCTGGGCCCCAGGAGGCCCTGAGCCGGCTCAGGGAGCTCTGCCACTGGTGGCTGATGCCAGAGGTCCACACCAAGGAGCAGATCCTGGAGCTGCTGGTGCTGGAGCAGTTCCTGAGCATCCTGCCCAGGGAGCTCCAGACCTGGGTGCAGCTCCGTCGTCCTGAAACTGGCGAGGAGGCTGTGGCTGTGGTAGAGGATTTCCAGAGACACCTTAGTGGGTCAGAGGAGGTAAGCAGTCAAGTTTCCAGTGTTACTGTAGATGTTCCAGATGCTTCTAGAACCATTCCCTAGGCTTGGACTAGCCTGGGAAGAAGTGTTCTTCATTCCCCACACTTTAGGATTCCCAAATCTGCGCCACTGATAAATGGGAAATAGTTCCGTGCTGCAGGCTATAAGCGGAAACATAAATTCCAACTGTCTTAGTTGCTGTTCTGTTGCACTGAAGAGACACCATGACCAAAGCAATTCTTATAAAGGCATTTAATTGTGGGCTTGCTTATAGTTTCAGAGATTCGTCCATTAGCATGTCGGGGAACATGGCAGCACACGGGCCTATATCATGGTGGAGAAGTAGCTGAGAGCTCTACAGTCTGAGCTTGGAGAGGCAGAGGGAAATTGGGAAACCTCAAAGCCCATCCCCGGTGGTATTTTCTCTAACAAGGCCACACCTTCTAATCCTTTTAATAGTACCACTCTGATGACTAAACAAAATCTCTTAACCTGTGGGGGCCATTCTTACTCAGACCACCATGTTCCACTCCTTGCCCCCAATGGGCTTGTAGCCATATCATAGTGCAAAATGCATTTAGTCCAACTTTGAAAGTCCCCATAGCCTATCACAGTCTCAACAATGTTAAAAGTTCAAAATCTCTTCTGAGATTCATGGCAATCTCTTAACTATAACCCAAAACCCCCTGTATAATCAAAATCAAAAAGCAGATCACACTTCCAACATATGTCAGGGGATATGCACTGCAATTCCAAAAGGAGGGAAGGGAGCATAGTGAGGAAATACTGAACTAAAGACCAAAACCAGCTGGGCAAATGCCAAATTCTGCATCTCCTCGTCTAATGTCAAAGATCTCCACTTCTTTCAGCTTTGCTGGCTGAAACACACTTGTTTCTGAAATTTCTTGGGTGGGGCCCTGCAGTTAAAATTGCCCTCAGCACTGTCTTCCATGCTCCTACTAGGATGGCCCAGTAAGCCCTGTGTATGCAGAGACTGCTCATTCATTTCCTGGCCACCAGACCCAAATAATCACACAAAAGCTATATTAATTACAACACTGGCCTGATAGCTCTTAAATTAACCCGTTTCTATTAATCTGTGTATCAGCATGAGGCTGTGGCCTATCAGTAAAGGGCCCAGCATCTGTGTGTTTCGGAGGTTACATGGTGTCTCCTTGACTCCACCTACTCCCTCTCTAGATCTCCTCCAGCCTGGCTATGTTCTGCCCTGCCATAGGCCAAAGTAGCTTTATTCATTAGCCAATAAAAGCAGCACATATACAGGAGAACATCCCACATCAGCCTCCATTAAAGCATCCAATTGCTTTTCTAGTTCAGAGTCATAAAATCTTCATATTCCTCCCACAGACAGCATGGTCAGGTCTCTGAGAGCAATACCCGAGTCACTGGTACCAACTCTGTCTTAGACACTGTTCTGTTGCCATGAAGAGACACCATGATGAAGACAACATCTGAATCTATAGCAGAGAGAGACATAGACAGGGCCTGGCATGGTCTTTTGAAATCTCAAAGCCCATTTCCTATGACACACTTTCTCTAAAAAGGTGGTACCTCCTAATTCTTCTCATCCTTTCAAATGGTGCCACTCCCTCGTGACTAGGCTTTCAAATCTATGAGCCTGTGTGGTCCATTTTTATTCAAACCACCATGCCAGCCAAGCTCTGAATCAGGTTTGTGTATGTGTGTTTATGTGGATGGGAGGTGCATGTGAGGTTATGTACATACACACCTGTGTTTATGTGGAGAAGAGGTGCATGTGAGGTTATGTACATACACACCTGTGTTTATGTGGAGGGGAGGTGCAGGTTTGTGTGTGTGTGTGTGTGTGTGTGTGTGTGTAGCCTTAGGTGTTGTTCTTCAGTACTGGTCACCTTGGTTTTTGAGGTAGGATCTCCCTGACCTGGGACTCAATGGTTAGCCTAAGTTCCTGGCCTATGGGGTGAGACTGTATATGCCTCTCCCGGGCTGGGGTTAAAGCATGTCCTATCATGTCTGTTTTTTATACACCGTTTTCAGGAAATCCCAGCCTAGGCTGTCATGAGTGCGTGGAAAGCCCTGTGTTGACTGAACCATCTCCCCAGGCCTGGGTGGTTCTGTTTTGTTTTTTTTCTGAGACAGGGTTTCTCTATGTTTTTTTTGGAGCCTGTCCTGGAACTAGCTCTTGTAGACCAGGCTGGTCTCGAACTCACAGAGATCCGCCTGCCTCTATCTCCCGAGTGCTGGGATTAAAGGTGTGCACCACCACCGCCCAGCATGAATGGTTCTTTTAAGTGCAGATGAAGACTCTTCAGTACAGTAGTTGTGGGTAGGGGCAGAAGATGTAGTTTAATATACTGTAATAGCCCAACTGTGATTCACTGGCGGTAAATCCTGCAATCTAGTACTTTACCCAGATCTCGGGATACATGGGTCTCCTCTCCTTCAGACACCACATTGACTATTTGCAGGCAGTAAACCTCATCAGAGACACATGTAATCTCCTGCTGCTTCTGCGTTCCTGCCTGAACATGGAAGTGTATGGCCATATTGGCTTTTGAGACAGGATTTCCCTGACCTGGAAATCAGTGGCCAGGCTAGGTGTCTTAGGGTTTCTAGTGCTGTGAAGAGACACCATGACCTTGTCAACTCTTATAAAAGAAAATATTTAATTGTAGTGACTTGCTTACAGTTTTAGACGTTTAGTCTATTGTCATCATGGTGGAAAGCAAGGCAGCATGCAGGCAGACATGGTGCTGGAGAAGGAACTGAGGGTCCTTACATCTTCACTCTCAGGCAACAGGAAGTGGTCTGAGCATATATGAGACTTCACAGTCTGCCTCCACAGTGACACACTTCCTCCAACAAGGCCACACCCACTCCCACAAAGCTACACCTTCTAATAGTGCCACTCCCTTTGAGGGCCATTTCCTTTCAAACCTCCACACTAGTTTCCTGGTCTATGAGCCCATGGGAGTCTGAAGTAGGCCTAAGAAGGTCTAAGTGGGCCACTTAGCTCTATGATTCTTAGAAGGCAGGTTTTACAACGTGTCATAATTCTTATACATGAACATGTGCACACACATACGTAAAAGTGGGTGGTGCTTGAGCAGAAGAGGCAGCTGAAGCCATTTAGTTTCTGTACATGTGCACATGTACCCGCACACACAGTGCACACCCACATGAAGACACAAAGGTCTGTCTAGTGGACAGATTGGAAACTGGTCTTCTCTCAGACCCTCAGGCTTAGCAGTACTTACCAGCTCTGACAACTGTGGAACTGGCTGTAGAATCTGTTCTTCAAGCTCCTGCCAGGAGGGATAAGACAGGGATGGCAGGGAAGATCACAAGCTTTGTGGTTAGCCAGCCGACTTTATTGGTAGCGCTGGAAAGATAGCCTAGCCCTTCATTTCTTTGGCTTTTTTCCTGTGTGGGGTGTCTTAGAGGTTTGGGTTCTCTACCTTCAAGAATGCACTTCTGAATCCAGTTCTGCTTCCTTATTTCTAGGTTTTGTCTCCAGTACAAGAGCAGGATGTGCATTTAAAGAAGACGATATCTCTGGATGGAATAGAACAATCTCCTACCTCAGCCTCCAGTCAAGGCTCAGCTCCTGAAGCCCACCTGGACCCTCCTTGTGACCCAAGAGCCCACCAACTCCCTCACAGATGCTGCGGTACTTATCCCCCAGTTCTGTTCTCAAGTCCTTCTTCCTTCTGTCCCCCTGGAGTCAGTTTCTTTCATCAGCTCAACTTGTATCCCACGGAATCCCCACACTGCCCTGACAGCTGCCCTCCTTCCTCGGTGGCTTTATCTGACCCTTTGTCTGTTCTTCTATCACACATGTATTTATTAGGTTTTCCTCAAACATGTCATTAGAAACACCACTGGATACCAGAGACATACAATATACTCTGATTTTTTTTTTTAAGAGTTCTTATCTAGGTGGCAGGGAGCTGGTCACATAGATAAAAAGAAGCATCCTCCTAAGATGCATTTGGGTAAAGCTGAGCATGGTGGATCATGCCTGTCATTCCATAAAAGAGAATTTCTAAGCACTTAAGGCCAGCCTGGACTACTGAGTAAGTTTTGGGCTAGCCTGTTCTTCAGATTAATACCCTGGGTCAAACAAAACCCCGAAAACCAACTACCACAAACAAAAGATACACATGGGTGGCATCTGTTCCCAGGCATGAGACTGGCATTGTAAAGGGGATTATGGGATAAAGTGCGTTAGGAGGCAGAGTAGGTGTGGGCACTGGAGGGACTCGCAAGGATGGAGGATGGGTACAGTGGTGCAAGCCTTTAATCCCAGCACTTGGGAGGCAGAAACAGGGAGATCTCTGTCAGTTTGAAGCCAACCTGGTTTGCATAGTAAGCTCCAGGCTGACCAGGGCTACATAGTGAAATTCTGTCTTAAAAAAACAAGTGAAACATGGGGCTGGAGAGATGGCTGTTCTTCTAGATGACTTGGGTTCAGTTCCCAGGATCCACACGGCAGCTCGCACCTGTCTGTAGCTCCAGTTCTAGGGATTCTGACAATATCACACAGACATACATGTGGGCAAACACCAATGCACATAAGATAAATTATTAAAAGAGAAAACGAAGGAAACTGAACTTGCTATTTCAAGGAACCCTGTCCAGCATGTGGCTGTGTGGTGGGTCTGAGAAGGCAGCAAAGACTCCAAGCATGGTTAAAGCCATGAATGTAGACGGAGCACTGAAGGAGGGAGGAGGAGCACTGACAGAGGAAAGAGGATCACTGACTGATGTGGGAGTGTCATATATCAATCTGTTGATTTCATTGGTTAAGTAATAAAGAAACTGATTGGCCCTGATAGGTTAAAACATAGGTGGGAGGAGTAAACCGAACAGAATGCTGGGAGGAAGAGGAAGTGAGCTCAGAGGCTATGCTCCCCTCTCCCGGGCAGATGCGATGAAGTAAGCCGCCAGGTCAGTCATGCTGAATCTTTCCTAGTAAGACTGGTGTTACACAGATTACTAAAAATGGGTTAGGCAAAATATGAGAATTAGCCCGTAAGAGGCTAGAGCTAGTGGGCCAAGCAGTGTTTAAAAGAATACAGTTTCCGTGTAATTATTTTGGGTAGAGCTAGCCATGCGGAGCCAGGTGGAGGGAAGCGGCCTGCCACTTCTTATTACTACAGAATGGCGCCCCATGTTGGGCGCCAGATGAAGGCGTAAGTCATAAACAATCCCACACCAGTTTGGAATTATGATTAATAGGGTGGTATTTATTTAAAGAGGAAAAAACTTACAGATCACTGTCCCAGACAACAGTCCTCTGCGCAATCAGGAAGAAGTCTTGTTGTCGGAACCGGAGCAGGAAGTAAAGAGAGAGAGAAGGGAAGTAGCCGCTTTTTTAAAGGGAGAGAGACCACGCCCCAATGGGCTGGTATCTCAGTGGCTATTGGCTGGAGGAGCGGAAGGACCTCCCGCAACAACTGACAGAGGGAGAGGAGCACTGACGGAGGGAGAAGGATCACTGACAGAGGCAGAAGGAAGGATCACTGTCGGAGGGGGAAGGAAGGATCACTGTCGGAGGGGGAAGGAAGGATCACTGTCGGAGGGAGAAGGAAGGATCACTGACAGAGGGAGAAGGAAGGATCACTGACAGAGGGAGAAGGAAGGATCACTGACAGAGGGAGAAGGATCACTGATGGAGGCAGAAGGCTCACTAACGGAAGGAGCACTGACGGAGGGAGAAGGAAGGAGCATTGACAGAGGGAGAAGGAGCATTGATTTGGGAAGAAGGAAATAATTCCAGATGGCAGAGGCTGCCTGGAAACTTCCATTTCCAACCTCAATCTCCAGCACATACACGGTGGATCATCACCACTTCTAACTCCTGTTCCATGGGATCCAACACCTCTGGTCTCCACATCAAGCACACAGGTGGGGCACAGACAAAACACCCGTACATATAGATTAAATAAGATTTTTTTTAAGCAGGAGGGTAAATCAATCTTGGGAGTGGAAATTGAGGCAGAGAGAATAATCAGAGTTTCAGACAGATGTGAGAGGGAACTGAAAGGAACCTGGCTGTGCCCTCTGAAGAACATTCCCAGCACACTTGGGATAAGGTCTCTGGAAGAAGCTAAGAATCAGTGTATGTGGGGCTTCCTGGACACCCACAAATCCACTTCTCTGGCACATGGACCTTAGGGAGCTGAGAGCAGGGCTTGACCCACTGTGTTCACCTTTCACCCCAGGTCCTGCTTGTCTTGAAGTGGGGAGTGCCAGAGCCCAGGCTACTGTGGGGAACTCCACAGCGGCTACTGAGCTTAGGATGGTCAGGCCTCAGGTGAGTGTGGCTCTCTCTCTCTTTTGATTCCATGTCTGGGGTGTGGGGGAGTGGGTGGAACTCACTTCCTGCCCGGTGCTTCCCCTGGAACTAGGTCCCTGCCCCTGGCTGTAATGGGTCCATTCAGCCCAGTTTTGTTCTTTTTGATTGTCGACCCGGCTCTTTCCACTGCCATTTTGTTCTTTGTGATGTCTGTACTTCTGAGAACTCTGCTCTTCTGGCTGAGACTTTATGAACAATAGAAGCTTGTCATTCCAGGAGATTACAGTGAATAAGGACTCGATGCAGAGAAGGTGGAAAAGCCTGGCACTCAATCAGAACGCCCTGAGCCGGAACATGAAGGAGGAAAACGAGCACAGCGTGGCCGCTCTGGGTAATGATTCCCATGTCTGTAACTGTAGCCCGTCCTCTGGGTTCTTTTGATTTGTTTTAACTTTTATTATGAATATCTGCAAACATAAATTGGATGTATATAATGGGTCTCTCTGCACCCATCGCCCAGTTTAACAGTGGTCATTTTCTTTATTTAATGACTGATCAACAGTAGAGAGCTAACTTGGATTTTCTTAGCCATAAGTAAGAGTTCTGTGGGTTTTGGAAGTAAATGTCTTTGTGTTTGAGGGATTACAAGAATGGGGACCCAGAACAAAGCAGTCAGAATAGACAGTGGGAAGCGGAGGTCTGAGGGTGTCCCATGTGACTAGTGCAGCTGCTCTCGGGGTTGTGCCTGCTGCGCGTTCCTTCCACTGATCTCAGATCTTTCAGCCCTCTCATTCTTCCTGCTCTCTGTGACTTCTCCTGGCTCTGTGGACCGTCCAGCTTTAGACTGTACTCATAATTCTGCCTGGTGATGAGCTACAGATAAGCTAGACCTGGGTCTTTCTGGTCCCTGGCCAGCTCTAATCACCTGTCATCCTTGGGGCTTGTTCAGGGTCACTTGACCTGAGACCCATCTGTAATTAGCAACCCAGGACAATAGACAACTTAACAGAGAGTGCACATGAAAGTTACTGGCCTAAATATTTTAAAATTTCATTTGCTAAAGATTTGCTGACCTGGGCCTCATGGCAAAGTGGTTTAAAGGAACCAGCATTTTGGTATTTGTTGATAACCATGAATTTTTCTCCAGATTTTACATCTGAATCTCCAAAACTGCAGACCAATATTTAACTATTTAATTTCCTTATTACTTTAGAGACAAGATCACAAGGGCATGCATTAATTTATATTTTAAACCACTGGTGCTTCTTTTAATTTTTATAGGAATATAGAACTAGCTTTGCCCAGTCCCTAGGCCTGCCATCTCCTTCAACACTGTTCTGAGTGCGTGCGTGTTCCCATAGACACGTTGCACAGGAGATGAATTTGAACTCTTGTCACAATGTCACAGTGGAGATTCTCATCAGCTCACTGCCATCTTTTCTTTCTTTCTTGTCAAGGTTCCCTCCCTCCCTAAACCAACTGCTACCACTCTCTCCATAGGTCTTACTGTAGCTCTGTCTGGCTTCAACTCTATGTAGACCAAGCTGACCTTGATCTCACAGAGATCTACCTGCCTCTACCTCCTAAGAGGTGAGGTTAAAGGAACCACCAACACATGGCCCAGCATATTTTTGGAGACATGTGGAATTGTAAACAGAGGCTGCTCTTTTGTTTTCTGGCCACCCAGACCCAAAATAATCACACAGAAACTGTATTACTACAACATTGCTTGGCCTATTAGCTCACACTTCATATTGGCTAGCTCTTATATCTTAAATTAGCCCATTTCTATTATTTTATATTTTACCACAGGCTCATGGTTTACTGGTAAGGTTCCAGCGCATCTGTCCCCTGCGTAAACTACATGGCTTCTCTCTGACTCCGCCTACTCTCTCTATATCTATGTTCAGATTTTCCAACTGGCTTTGCTCTGCTAAGCCATTGACCCAAAGCAGCTTCTTTGTTAACCAATAAAACATATTCACAGTATACAGAGGGGAATCCCACCTCATAGAGCTGTACAATGTCAGGGTGGAGAGGAACCTACTTTAGCCACAACCCAGCGCTTACTTTCCAGGCTTCCTCCTGCACAGGCTGTGCTAGCTCAGGTTCCTCCATCCTTGCCCTTCTCCTCTCTGGACTATTGTTTCTCTTTTCTCTCTACTTCTCAATATGTGGTTGTTGTTATAAGAGCAGCGGGGCTGTGTCCCCGGCACCCGGCCGCCCGCACGGCTAGCTTTACCCTAAATAATTACACGGAAACTGTATTCTTTTAAACACCCCTTGGCCCATTATATCTAGCCTTTTCTCAGCTAACTCTCACACCTGGACTAGCCCATTTCTTATAATCTGTGTAGCCCACATTACCAGGAATGATCTTAACCTGCGTGTGCCTGGAGTGGGAGAATCATGGCAACTCTCTGACTCAGCTTCTTTCTCCCAGCCTTCCGTTCTGTTTACTCCTCCCACCTATGTTTTAACCTATGAGGGCCAAGCAGTTTCTCTATTGCTTAACCAATGAAATCAACAGATTGATATATGACACTCCCACATCATGTGGTCTCATTCCTTTTTTTTTCTTAAAAGATTTATTTATTTATTATATATACTGTATTCTGTAACAGATCTCATTACAGATGGTTATGAGCCACCATGTGGTTGCTGGGAATTGAACTCAGGACCTTCTGAAGAACAGGCAGTGCTCATAACCTCTGAGCCATCTCTCCAGCCCCTGTTGTCTCATTCCTTAATGATAATATTATTTTTTTCGGTTACAAAGCAAAAAAAAAGTAAAAATTGTCTTTTTCTTTCTTTTAGCAACAGGTAAGAACAGGATGGAAAGTTCTGAGTGCACTCCAAAGCACGACGTTTCTGAAGGATCCGATTCACTTGACATATCCTCAGCGGGACTCTCTGGAATGGCATTGGTAGAACCAGAGTCTGGAGATATCTGTGAAGATCCTGTAGCACAGGCAGAAGGGCAGCCCCCAGATGATGAAGAGAGTGAACGAGAAAGTGACTTCTTGGAAAAGAAAGCTAAGAAAAATTCCACAGAACACAGAAATGAGGAGTGTAAAGATGGAGGGGAACATGCAGATCTTCCCTCTAGTTCTGCTGAGTTCCAGCGAGAAGCAAAGAGACAGAAGCTCTATCAGTGTGAGGAGTGTGACAGAGTTTGTAACCGGAGCTCCCACCTCCTTGGACACCAGAGAACCCAGACTAGAGAGAAACCCTGTGAGTGTAGTGAGTGCGGGAAGACCTTCCGACAGACATCTCAGCCAACTGTTCACCTCAGAACACACGCAGCGGGGAGGCCTTATGGATGTAGTGAGTGCGGGAAGACGTACCAGCTCTGTTCCCATCTTAGTCAGCACCAGAGACTCCACGATGGGGAGACACTGTCTAAATGCCATGAGTGTGCCAAAGCCTTCACTCAGAGTTCCCAGCTCCTGGACCACAGGAGAACCCACACTGGGGAGAAGCCTCATGAGTGCAGTGAGTGTGGAAAAACCTTCTGCTCCAACAGAAATCTTATGGACCACCAGAGAACCCACACGGGGGAGAAGCCTTACGAATGTAGTGTGTGTGGCAAGGCCTTTAGTCGGAGTAAGTGTCTTATTCGACATCAAAGTCTCCACAGTGGGGAGAAACCGTACAAATGTAGTGACTGTGGGAAAGCCTTCAACCAGAACTCTCAGCTCATTGACCACGAACGGATTCATACCGGGGAAAAGCCTTTTGAATGTAGTGAGTGTGGCAAGAAATTCAGTTTAAGTAAATGCCTTATTCGGCACCAGAGACTTCACACTGGAGAAAAGCCCTATAAGTGCAGCGAGTGTGGGAAATGTTTCAGTCAGAACTCTCACCTCATCATCCACCAGAGGATCCACACTGGGGAGAAACCGTACGCGTGCAATGAGTGCGGGAAGGTCTTCAGCTACAGCTCTAGCCTCATGGTTCACCAGAGAACCCACACTGGGGAGAAGCCCTACAAATGTAAAGATTGCGTGAAAGCCTTCAGTGACAGCTCACAGCTGATTGTGCACCAGAGAGTTCACACTGGCGAGAAGCCTTACGAGTGTATCGACTGTGGGAAAGCCTTCAGTCAGCGCTCCACATTTAACCACCACCAGCGGACGCACAGTGTGGAGAAGCCCGCAAGCCTGCTTCGGACAGACAACGTGGAATTCTGAGTCAGCTTTGTTTATAAGGAGGGTATTTACCATACTCTCTTGGAAGCATTATTCAAATGACCATTGCTTAGTGCTCTTTCCTTTGGGCCACTCAGGTAGGGGAGCAGTAATAACTTAGTGCAGTCTTTTCTCCTCACTGTTGGAAAAGTAAGAGCCATGTCTTCTGTTTACTTATAGCTTTTTATTTTTTAAACTATTTTAAAATATACCTCATTTTTTAGTTTTCCATCCCAGGATTTGTGACCTTCAACACAGAGATACTATCTCTACTTCATCCTAACTTCTTTGACCGCTGACTGACTCGGAGGCGCACGACGCGACTCTCATCGCTCCATTTTGTGGCTGTAGCTCTTCGTTTACTTTGCCCCTCACATTTTTTTACATATATGGGTGTTCTGCCTGCATATATGTCTGTGTACCACTCAGTACACATACATGTCTGGTGCCTACAGAGGCCAGAATAGGCCATCAGACCCCCTGGAACTGGAGTTAGAGATACTTGTCAGCCATCATGTGGATGGTGGGGATCAAACCTGAGTCCTTTGGCCGAGCAGCCCATGCTCTTAACCACTGGATCATTGCTCCAGCCTTCACACCTGTTCTTAAAGTTAGTTCAATGTGTAGCTTTTGTCATTTAAGCTCCCTAGAAATTTTTTCCTTTACTTGTTAATTTAGTATATGTATGTATGGTTGTTAGTTTATGCATATTTATGTGCGATTGTACAGTGAGTGCAGTGCTTTTAGAGAACAGAGGAGGGCGGAGCCTTTAGAACTGGTGGTTGTCAGGCTCTGGGAGCTGAACTTGCATCCTCTGCAAGAACAGTATATACTCCTAACCACTGGGCCATCTCTCCAGCCCCTGAGGTTTGTTTTATTTATTTTTTTACATGTTTTCCCTCTTAAACCTCTGTTGATCTGATCTCAACTTGCTTTGAGTTAGTTGATGCTATATGGTACAACTGTTAATTTCTCTTGTATTTATATACTTTCATACCAACATGAGGGCTCTTTGTGGGTATATATTTTTCATATATAGATAATTATATTAATTGATAAATAAATAATTTTTAAAATCTCCCTCGATCCTTAAATTATGTCCCCTCTCCCCAAAGTCTTTAAGGTGTGAGTGCACCTCCAGTGTCACATACACTATATTAATTACAGTATCGTAACTACTAGGGTATTGTTCTTAGAAAGCTAATTATATGTGAGACAGAGGGAGACGGACAGCACATTTTATTGCGTATTCAGTTGTGCAGGCAGGCCCCACCTCATGTGCACTGTATACAAGGACTCCATTCTGGCTCTTGTGTGAGCAGGCTGAGAAAGATAGAAAACTAGAAAGGCTTGTTGATGACTCCAGTGGCTGCACTAGGTGACGGACAGATTCACAATATGCAGAGTTATCCTGCATATTGAAACCACTGAATTTATATCAGACGACACAGAGTTGACTTCATTGTTTATCCAGGTACAAGACATAATCAGGAACAGGCTTTGTCCGATGTACATAACACACATCCGGTCCAATACAGGTCTGCCTGGTCCTCTAGCCCAAGGCAATGCTGAGATTGATCAATTATTGATTGGAAGTGTGTTGCAGGCCTCAGAATTTCATAAGAAGCATCATGTCAATAGTAAAAGCCTAAAGAAAGAATTTTCCATTACTTGGTAACAAGCTAAGGACATTATAAAGAGATGTCCTACTTGTTCTTTCTATAATCAAACACCATTGCCTGCAGGGAGTAACCCAAAGGGTACTAAGAGAAATGAAATCTGGCAGATGGATGTGTTCCACTTTATGGAATTTGGTAAATTAAAATATGTACACCACACCATAGACACATATTCAGGTTTTCAATGGGCTACTGGCCTGAGCTCAGAAAAGGCTGATTCAGTAATCACACATTTATTGGAAGTTATGGCCATCATGGGTATACCTGCACAAATAAAGACAGATAATGGTCTAGCATATGTATCTAAGAAAATGAAACAATTTTTTGATTATTATAATATAAAACACATTACAGGTATACCAAATAATCCTACAGGTCAGGCAGTTATAGAAAGATCAAATCATACTATAAAGGATATGCTGAACAAACAGAAAGGGACCGAAAATACCCCCAGAAATAGATTACATAATGCTTTATTAACCTTGAATTTTCTTAAGGCTAATGAGAAAGGAACGACAGCAGCAGAAAGACATTGGGTAATGGAAAAGTCTGCTGAACTAAATCAACCGATTTATTTCAAAGATGTGCTGACCTCTCAATGGAAGCCAGGAGATGTGCTACGTTGGGGAAGGGGTTTTGCTCTTGTTTCCACAGGAGAAGAAAAATTGTGGATACCATCAAAATTAATAAAGTTTCGATTTGAAGAGGAGAAACCTCTTGGAAAGGAGAAATGACAACTCATCCACAATGATGATATTCATACAGGTGGTAAGAAAAACATATAGAATGGGGGCAGGGTTCTGTTCTTATCTCCACAGGAAAACACTCATCTTTGAGAAATTCAAGGGACCCTGGATGTTTGGATACTGACAGATGGAAAAATACCTGCCCAATAGGAAATATCAAGAAAACTGAAAGGGTTGTGTAAGTAATATTAAACCATATTTCTAAATTTATAAAGCTGGTTTTGAAGTTGGACTCTGGCTCAGTCCCTCTCCAATTCCAAGCCTGTTAGTAAGAGAAAAACCCAGAGTTTCTGGAGTTTCTGTCTCATGTCAAGAGCCATGATATGGGACAGAAAGAAATATGAGTTTAGAAAACATCTTTGCTTTTCTTCATAGCTATCATACTTTTCATTGAATATATCTATCATGCCTTTCATTGAATATATATATATATATATATATATATATATATGATTAATGTTTAAGTTTTTCACAATGAACAATGAGTTTTTCCTGAAGTGACATTTGAAGTTTCCAGGAAGAAGATGGGGCTCCATAACAACAACTCCAACTGGTTGATATGACGTCATGATACTGATAGCGCTACTACAAGACCTGCTTTGGGTACCAGCTGCACAAGACAGTTCCAACTTGGTTAGCTGAAATGGTGCACATCTTATACAACATTTTGGCCAGACCTGCACAAAATACTCAGAGACTATTTGCAATTTTAAAAGACATTGATCTTGAAATTTAACCATCATTTTACTTTCACAGGATCCCCCAGAAAGAACGTCGCCCCCATGACAGCTGGAAGTAATTCTAGAGGATGACGTCCCCTCTCCCAGTAAAGTTTGCCCTTGGGTTTAGGGACATCATTTAGGGGTTGATTATAATTAGTATATGATTGAGGGTTGGGGGAGGAATTTTATAAGGTCAGGGATCATTTTGAAAAAAAAAAGAGGGATGATGGGATAATAGATTTATAATTGTGAGTTACTGTTTTTAGACAAATATATTGGTATTGATTCTTGTATATTGATACAAAGTTAAATTATATTGACTATTGTATCCATGCATGTTTCTACCTCTGTTTAAAACATTTTTTATGTATTGACATATATTGTATTGATATATATCGTATATATTTACCATATTGCTGTGTACATTTCTACCTCTGATTAAGATACTTATATAATGTTTGTGTATTGATATATATTTACCTACTGCAATGTATATTTGTACATTGTTTATATTTGGAGGTCATTGTCCTCATTTGTTTCACAGTCGTTTATTTTCTTAGTCTTTAAGTTAGATAGATATTGAGAATTATATAGATTAATAGTCATCTAAGTTTGTCATTTATAATTAGACTAATCAGGTTCTTTAGATATATAGAGATTATACTCAGTATAGATAGATAATCTTCAACTTCTTCAAAGAGCTGTAGAAAATGGCCTTTAATCTAACTCAGAGTTTTGTGGTAGTGAGACACAATTGCTCCTGGCAACACCGCTCTATTCCCGAGAGAATGTTGAGCACCAAAGACACTCCACCTGGAGCCTTTCTTTTTGGCAGAACTAGCCTTTGGGCAAAGAAATGCCCATACCTCAACCACTGACACAGACACAGAGCGTGCATCAATGGATAAAATAGGACTGTCATATCCTGCCGAGACAGGGTAAGATAGTTTTGAAAAGTTGATTGCCTTTGAAAATGGTATGTCAGTTATGTTAGGCCTTAGCCAAAGTTGGTTGCTTCAACGCTGCTAACGTGACTTTGGGTGATTGTCCAGGTAGCTAGTTGTCTCTGTGATTTGTTGCATGTTTTGGAAGTTGTTTTACTGAACTTCCTAATTACCCAGGTAACATTATTTCCCTTCTCAGATCTTCGATGGGGTTGAAGACTATATGAATGTAGTTACTTTCTCTCATGACTTGGCCAAGTTATTTATTATATAAGACCTAAGCTAGTTAGAATAGGATATTTGTCCTTATTGTATATAATTTCATAGTAGGTTTAGAACTCTCTTATTTAAACAAAAGGGGGAGGTGTTGCAGGAGGTCCTCCCACTCCTCCAGCCTATAGCTGCTGAGATACCAGGCCATTGGGGTGTGGTCTCTCTCCCTTTAAAAAAGCGGCCACTTCCCTCTCCTCTTTCTCTTCACTTCCTGCTCTGCCGGTGACTAGACTCCCTTCCTGGTTGTGTAGAGGGCTGTTGCCTGGGACAGTGATCTGTAAGTTTTTTTCCCCTTTAAATAAATACCACCCTATTAATCATAATTCCAAACTGGTGTGGCATTGTTTGTGACTTACGCCTTCAGGTGGTGGTGTGACCAGTCACCGAGCACTTTAGATACAGAGGTGATAGTACCAGTCATCGAGGGCCTTAGGTACAGAGATGGTGGTGTGACCAGTGACTGAGCAGCTTAGATACAGAGGTGGGGGTGTGACCAGTCACTGAGGACCTTAGGTACAGAGGTGATGGTGTGACCAGTCACCGAGCAGCTTAGAGATACAGAGATGTGGACTGAGGCCTGGGGCCCAGATCTCAAGAAAAAGAGGAAACCTTAGTCATACCCTGAAACCATCTTAGTTGCTGTCTGTGGTTCTGCGTGTTGCTGTGTGCCAGCTGCTGTGTCTCTGTTACACAGGAAGCAGCTCAGCAAGAACAGCTGACTGAGCCAGGGGACCTTCCATATCCCTGTTCTCAGTGCTAGATTACACCTGATCCTGCCTTTGGGTTACTCTGCTCCCATTTTAGAAAGTTGAGCAAGAAGAGAGCAGGGTGGGTTTTATGAGGTTCTTTGCATGTTCTGAGACTGGACCTGCTGTGTTCCACTTCACCTCTATCTGTCTCTATCTTTTTATTGTCTGTTTCCTAACTTCACTTTTCTCATCGTTTTGAACAGCTCTCTGCCTTTGAACACTTGCCCTCCTATGTGAGACATATGATCTACTACATCTTGTCTTCCTTGAGTAATTCTTACTCTAGTACAGAGAAACTGTGACATGTACACTTTCTCTTCCTCCTGTCAGATGGTGAAATAGACTGAGGAGAGATTGATTCTAAAGCGTCGTTTCTTGAAAAATCAGAATCACATTTTACCCTGGAGAATTCCACATAAGTGTTGCCAAGGAAGTAAAGAATTTAAAAGGAAAAGATAAGATCGGAACAGCCACTAGAATGCCCCTAGAAGAAGATGAAGCAAAAGACGAGAAAGTTCAAACACAAGGTGTTTGAAGGTAGTAAATCACCCACAGAAGGGAGTGACCAGGAGTGTGAAAATGGTGGTAGTCAGCCCTGTGACTCTCCATCACACGAGCGAGGTTGTGGTGGAAAGAGACAGTACATGTGCCCTGAGTGTGGAAAAGCCTTTAGTCAGAGGGCCAACCTCACGGTGCTTGAGCGAACCCACGCAGGAGAGAAGCCGTATAAGTGTAAGGAATGTGGCAAAGCTTTTAGTCATAGATCCAACCTTGTGGTCCATCAGAGAATCCACACCGGAGTGAAGCTGTACTTGTGTAGTGGGTGTTGGAAATCTTTTGGGGGGTAAGTCTCATCTCATCCGGCACCAGGGAATCCACAGTGGAGAGAAAACATACGCTTGTAAAGAGTGTGGGAAAGCCTTCAGTTGGAGCTCGGGACTTATTTTCCATCACAGAGTTCACACTGGCGAGAAGCCCTACACTTGTGTGTGTGGGAAAACATTTGGCAGGAGTTCAAAACTTACTCAGCATCAGAGGACGCACAGAGGAAAAAAGATTTACAAATGTAGAGAGTGTGGGAAAATACGTGGTTCCAATACAAAGATTATGGACCATCAGAGAATTCACAGCAGAGAGAAGCCCTACCAGTGCTCCAAGTGTGGGAAAGCCTTCACCTTAAGGAAGGCTCTTAGTGAGCACCAGAGACTCCATCGTAGAGAGAAGCCTTATAAATGCAACGAGTGTGGCAAAGCTTTCACTTCTAACGGAAACCTTGCTGATCATCAGAGAGTTCACACTGGAGAGAAGTCTTACGAACGTAACGAGTGTGGGAAGACCTTCAGGCAGACATCTCAAGTGATTCTGCATTTGAGAACCCACACTAAAGAGAAACCCTACAAATGCAGCGTGTGTGGGAAAGCCTACCGTTATAGCTCACAGCTTATTCAACATCGAAGAAAACATAACAAGGAGGAAGAAACCTTATTTTTGTGGGCCAGGTGTGATGGCTCATGCTGTTTATTCCAGCATTTAGGAGGCAGAGACAGGGAGATCTCTGTGAGTTCTAGACCATCTAGAGCCATACGGTGAGACCCTGACTTAGAAAAAAAGAAAAATTGGCTATTAGGCTGATTGCTACTTTTCTGAAAACTAGATTTTTATTAGTAACATTTGACTAAATTCTGCTTCTAAGAATCCACACAGGGAAAATAGTAAATGGCTAAAGTAAAACAAAAGGCATATTCACGCCAGCATTATATATAACTGAAAGGGGAAAACACACCATAGATGTTTGCATGTGCAGGCAGAAACAATGATAGAATATTCAGATTATGCTTCTGAAGACAGTCTGTTTTTAAAAGATTTTTAATGTGTGTGCCACGGAGAAAATTTTGAATAAAATGGAAAATAAAAGAATTTTCCTTTTTTATTTTTTTTTAAATTTTACTTTTTTATGCTTTCTAGATTTTCTACAACGAGAGTGTTACTTTTATATTTAAGAAAAAGTATATTTTAAATATGGTGATTATGTCATCATTTTTATTCAGTGGTGGTAGGAAAAGGACCTGGTGTGTAGTCTTAAAAAGCTCGGATTCACCCTCATACTGGCACCCCACTTTCTACCAGTAAACCAGTGTTGCCTTTTGTTCTTTGTAGTTTTAAGATGAGTTGACTTGCAGAGGAGATTAGTGCACCTTCTCTTCCTCTGTAGTAGAATCTGAATCATTCATGATAGACAGCTACCCGAGCTCCCTCCTTCCAGGGAATGTCTAGACAATAAGGGAAAAAATGTCTCTTAATGAGCTGGAGAAATTGCAGGCTCAAAAACTAGAACGCAGAGAAGTTCACCTTCATCGCGTTATTTGAGGCTGAGTGGGTGAAACGCAGTTAGGCTGAGAGACCTGTGTCCTGATCCTCTTGCTGAGACTTCCGGTTTACGTCAGGGTTGCTGTGAGGATTGAGATCTTGCTAGCAACGCCAAGACTGGCACATGGCAGAGACAAACAGGCCCACTGAAGGTTATCGGGCCATGTTTCTAAACACTTCAGAAAATAACAAGAGATCAGGTGTGATGAACAGGATTCCAAGTAATGACAGCATAAATCTTTAAAATGTTGTTTCTGAAGAGGTAGTCTAGAGTCAAGCAGCTCATACTTGGTTTTGTAACTCAGCAGTTCATCAGACTTGCAATAATTCCCTAATATTGCCTTTATTTTTTTATTGTCTCGCGGTTGCAAGTCACTGGCCACAGCTGCATGCTTCTTCACACAGTTCCTCCTAAGATAGAACAGGAGGAAAGGAACAGAACATTCTATAGTTTATCATTATTGAAAAAAATGTTTCCTCAAAGTGGGGACAGAATGCTGAATAATTCATGTGACAAATGCGTCTGGATTCCCAGCCTCTGGGAGTGGACCTGGGACCTCACATGCTGGCCAAACACTGTTGTGCTTGTTTATGGAGATCTTCGCAGCAAGCTTTTAGGAGGGTATTGGCCTATCTTTAGACACAATCAAAACTTTTAATCCCTTAGTTCAAAATCCATCTAACTGTATGTAGACTCTCTCCATTACTTATTCCTCTTGTATACAATAAATGCCTTATGTTAATGTAGGAAGAAGGCTGCTAGTTAGTTCCCGGCCACTTGGCCCCGAAATAATCACACAGAAACTGTATTAATTAAAGAAATTAAATTCTGATTGGTTGACCTAGAGCCTGTCCAAATTATAGAACCCCCATAGGCTGAAAGTGTGTCACCATGGAAACTCCCCAACAGTTTCTCCCCGTATTACATAGTGATTCGATGGGACTCGGGAGCTATCTCTTTGTGGTTTTCCCTAATATATCAGTTTTTCCTAAATAAATTCTTGGCTTGCTCGAACTCGATCTTTTGTGGATTATTCCCGGATTCTCGGATCCTAGCAGCGTGACTTGTCCAAGGCCTGTTTGCTGATAAGCCTTCGCAACAGGAAGAGAAGATCTCCTCTGATCAGGTCCTGTCCCCACCAGCCCTCTTTCTCCCGGAGTCTGACCTGAGTCCTAAGTGATCTGCTTCTGCGAGGATAAAAGCTGATGTAGACAAAAGCTCACTTGCCTTGGATTTCAAAGCCTTGCTAGTTAGTTAGAAAAAGTCCTCAAGTTTATTAATCCTTAGTCTCCAGTATTAGGACAATATCGTCTGTCTTAGAGGACTCTTGTAAGGAGCAAAGTAAGCATGTGAAAAAGGCAGACATGGAATGAGTGGTTTTATATTCTAGTTTTTGTTTGTTTTGATGCCCTAGATGTTCTGGTTTGAAAGATAGCTTTATCTAAATATGCAGTTCCCAGCCTGGGAACAGCATTGTCTCTGAGCCCGCTAGTCATGGAGATGCAGCTTCCTAGAGAGTCAGGATTGGTGAGGTATGTGTATGGGGGAGTAGAGGTAGGGGGGAGGGGAAGGGGAAGCCCCCCTCCCCTTATGAGCAACCGGAAGTCGCAGGAACTGGCTGAGCCATTATTCCAGGCCTTGTCATCTACTTCCTGCGTTGTCTGCTGGCTGCCAGACTCAGGCTGGACACCGCCCCCCACCACACACACACACACACACACACACACCCGGGTCGGAGAGAGCAGGAAGTGAACACCGAGGACTAGGAGAGGGGGAGAGGCCTCCAGCTGCCGTCACGCTACTTTGGGCTTGTGCTCTGAGAACCCCTGTCATCTCAGCACTAGGGATGCTGAGGCAGGAGGATCAAGAGTTCCAGATCGGACTTGGCCGCTTGTGTCAGGGTGGCGGGGAGAAAGCAAGAGTGAGCGCCGTAGTCGGGTTGTCCGCATCAGTCCAATCTCCGCCTTTCCGGTGTTCTTGAGGCTGGCAATGCTTTAAATGTTTGACATGTCCCTAGGATAGTGGTTCCCAGTCTTCTGGAGATGGATTTGTTTCTATGTTTAGGGATGGGTCAGTTGTCCTCCAAATGTATAACTTAATGGAACTGAAAAAAGCAAACCATTGTCTCTACAGAGAAATCATTTTATCTCCTAAGTAGCAAGACTGGAAACTCAGAAAAATGTCAATTCTTTGCCAGTCTGGCGATGACGGTAGTCATTTCTCTTTTTTAGCCTAGCAGATGAAAGCTTTTATCTCGGCCTGGTTATTGGAAACAGGTGTCATGTGTCTCATCTTAAATGGCAGTATTTTGAACTCTTGGGCATAGGATCCTTGGATTCGTAGTTTGCTCCCATGCAGTAGCCAGGATGCTCATCTGTGAATTACGCAGCCTCCGGACCTTTTACTTTTGATTGCTGCCTCATAAACCGTTTTTGAAAAGCAAGAAAAGTGTGGGGTTTGTTCTGATCTGTGACGTATGGAACTCCAGGAAACAGATGAGATGGCTCAGGGTGTAAAGGCACCTGCCTAACCAACCTGAGTTCCATTCCAGAACCCACACAGAGGCGGGAGGAGAGGACCCCACAAAGACGTCTGCTGACCTCCCCACGCGTGCCACGGCGTGTGAGTGCCGCACACTCTCACACACCTGCACACATCTGGCACACACAATAACAGAAAAAAACTAAGTATGGAACTTAGAGAATTATTTTAAACACCTTCTTAAAAGTCCCATACCATCAAGCCAGGCATGGTGGCTCACTGGGGAGGAGGCAAAGGCAGGTGCATCTCTGAGTTTCAGGCCAACCTGGTCTACAGAGGGAGGGAGTTCCAGGACAGCCAGGACTACCCAGTGAAACATTGTCTTGAAAAACAAAACAAGCAAACAAACTAAAATTCCTTTCCATCACTTGTAAATGAGTTACCCAGAATGCCAGGTTGTCTTGTATGCACTACCTCTTTACTTAGAATATGATCATTTGATTAGACTGTTGGAAAGACGGAGCTGATCTCCTTGATACTGATTCATTATCCTTCCCTTATCTGTTCTTCAGCAATTCTAGACTTCCATCATGTTCAGAGTCTGAAATTTCTCTCTAGTCAAAGCCCCAAGCCCAGAAGCCATGAAGGAAAGGTTTATTACATGTCACCAACCGTGGAAACCACAAAGTCGCACATGTATAACAGACTGGGGTGCATATCTTTAATCCAAGCACTCAGGAAGCAGGTCTCTCTGAGTTAGAAGCAAGCCTGGTCTGCTTAGCCAGTTCCAGGCCCTGACTCAAACAACCCAACAAGGGAATAATTGCAGCTCCCATTGTCAGCAAAGTATTGACTTTCTTTTGATATGAGGATCAGATATGAGTTAGCATATCTGGCTGTTACCCTCTTCCTTTGAAAATACAATGTCTTCTTGAAATAGTGTTCCTGAGTGGACTTTGTATGTCTTGCCTTTAAGCACACTCCAAAGTCATCTCTCATGAATCCCTGTGCTTGTGTGTTTACGTGTTGTTAGGTGTGACCACATGTATTGAAATCTTTTAGATTTCTGTCTCCCCTGATTGGTTATTGTTAAAACAAGCCCAGGACAAATATCGGCAAGCTTGTATTCGACTGAATGAATTGATGAGGATGCCCATAAATCAGTGCTATAACTGGTAAACCTGACAACTTGTAAGATTTGTACCCTTTGCCCCGCAGTTTTTCTCCTAGAAATGTATCCTGGAGAAATGTGTAAGAGATAACCAAATTTTCTGGGTTTTTTTCAAGACAAGGTTCTTCTGTGTAGTTTTTGGCGCCTGTCCTGAAATGCACTCTGTAGACCAGGCTGACCTTGAACTCACAGAGATCCACCCGCCTCTGCCTTCCAAGTACTGGGATTAAAGGCATGCACCACCACCTGGTGATAACCACACATTTTTAACAATAACAATTAGTTTCTGGTTTGTGTGTGTTTAAAAATCTTACAAATTTTTTGTTTTGTACCCAAACAATGCTGTTTCTGTTGGTTGCTTGACTTCTGAGAACAGTCACAGCCTAAGATCTGCTTAGCAAAACTTTGTTCAAAGTTATCCAGATATTTCAGTTAACATAATGAACACATCTCAGAGAATATTGTGTAGGTCCTACGAAACCACATGATTTAACCTAGCCTTCCTTTGTTAACGGAGCACTGGGATCACCCCTTGCATGTTTCAGGATTAAGCTGAACTCGGAGAGGAGTGCAGTGACCCAAGAATAGGTAGCATTGGATCTGAGCTCCAGGCACTATACAGAAACTTGGATGGGAGTTTAGGGGTACAGTTCAGAGGCTGCACATTTATCTGGCATGTGCGCTCAGTGCCACAAAACAAACCACGATGGAAACCTTCAAGTATAGTTACACATCACAGTTTCACAGCCTTGTATGAATTGCTGTGGTCTCTGTCACAAGCTAAGAAACCAAGTCATAAGTGAGGTAGGCTGCTCTGGCTACAGCAGTATCCAGGAGGCCTCTTGGTC